CTTCCTGCCTGCCTTCCGGCCTTCCTGCCTTCCTGCCTTCCTGCCTTCCTTCCTTTCTTCCTTTCCTCTTGGTACAGAAAGGGCTATTTACAGTTATGTAAGCTTTCAATTGATATTAAATTATTGAAGTTACAAAAACCAAAATATTCCTCAAGCTTTTAAGTTCAACTTACAAATTTTATTTTTCTGCATATAATTCTACTAACTTTTTGTATATAATAAGAACAAATAGTTTCACAGAGGGTTTTGATTAGTGTTGAATCAATTTATGTCGAACAATCTAAACTCAAACAATTGCTCTCATTTCTAAACTTAATTAGCTAAAATTCTCTATACAGTTTAATCTACATTTATAAAGTTAATATATTCCATTTTCTGTTTAACTGTTCAAGTATCTATCTAACTGGGCAAACTTACAACTATAACAGGCAGAATCTCTTCTAAAAACTTAAACAACTTTTATAAATCTAATACAGGCATTCATTTTTCAACAAATATGTATAATTCTGTTCATTACCATTTAAACTTTAAATATTTCAACTTATTGCCATTAAAACTTTAAAATATTTAGACTTTTGCCATTTAAACTTTTCAATATTTAAGTTTCTTCAACATTTAGAATATCCATACTTATTTAGAGAATTGAAAGTTCACCTGAAGTGTCCAATATTATTTACCAAGCGATAAATTCTGTTATGCTTTCAACTTACAATCACCATTCTAAAATCAATTTCACATTTCAAATTGGAAGCAAAAGGCTAATGCATTTAGTCATTTGACAAACACTAAGTAATTATGTCTATTTTCTAATATGCCAAAATCTCTTAAATATTCAAAATGTCTTCAGCCACATACCCAGATTGGCACTACAATCACTGAATGTATTCCTAAATTTAAAACAAAAGAATTAACCCTATAAAATTCATTGATTAACTCAATTGAGTTTTCATCATGGGTTAACTGAGGGTGCGAACACCATGGCTTAAGGGTTAGCGATCTGACAGGATGTAGGACCTGGAGACTGCTGTCATTCAGGGCACAAGCCCTGAACCTCAAGGGACATTCTTCTTTTTAAAATCGCTGTGTCAACATGTGACCCTAAATCCATTTTTACCCAATTATTTAATCTCATTTTGGTGAAAAGAAGTCGACTTTATTTGTATTGTCTTTCTGGCAAAAACTCTTCATCATTTTCATTCAAATTGTTACCGGACTGAATGCAAACAGGGTCCGCTCGCCCGGCGCCCCTTTCAGCAAAGCCAATCCGCTGACACTGGGTTGTAGTGAAGGAAAAAAGGATTTAATTGTAAAGCGCCAAACAATGGAGAATGGGCAGCTTGCGCTGGGGAAAAAAAAAAAAACAACCCGAACTCCCTGTCTGCTTATTGGCTTTAAAGGGTGAAATGGGGAGTAGAGGTCTTCAGTGCGTGGTCAGCTAGCTCATGGGTGTCTTCTGATTGGCCGGAGCTGGAGTTACAAAGAGATGTTTTAGGATTTTGAGTCATCAGCCCTGCGGCGCCATCTAGTCTGGGGTTTACATGACTGTGGTCAGCGACAGTCAGCAGTTTTCTATCTTGTGGGGGTTCTGGTTCCTGTAAAACAGCTCAAGGTGTATGTCAGTATGTTATCTGTGATTCCAGAGGGGGGACTAGTGCCCCAAGATCCTGATTTATGTCTGAGAAAGTTGACTTAGGTGAATGTGAGGAAAAGGGACTTGGGTCTGGTTTCTTGCAAGCAAGAGACTTGGGAGGGCTTTGCCGGGAAGGGATGCTGGCGGCTTCATTCTCATCTGGCTCTGAGGATGATTTGCAGTCATTGCATCGCATCCTCAATGAGTCTCAGTCGTTCGGTTGCGCTCCTGCAGCGAGGGCTCCCACCGCGCCACGGCAGCTGGAACCTCGGACCTGCTGCGGCTGTGGCTAGGCGGGCGCTCTGCACTTTACCGCAGACCCGCCCCGACCTCCTCCCGGGCGGGACACGGTTTCTCAGCCTTGGCACCGTTGGCATCTCAGACCAGATCATTCCTTGTTTGGGGGGCCTCCCTGTATACCGTAGGATGTGTAGTGGCTTCCTGCACATCCTCTACCCACTAGATGCCAGTAGCACCCCTCCCTTCTTCAGTTGTGACAACCAAAACTGTTTCTAGACATTACCAGGTGTCCTCTGGTGAGCAAAATCATCCCTCCCACCCCCCACCACACACACACACACACACACACACACACACACACACACCCCATCGAGAAGTACTAGCTGGGGCGACTGACTGTCCAGCAGACACAGAGGTAGAGCAATAGGCCAATCTGCGTTATGACCGTGGTGTTCTTTGTCTTCTGCTCCACCAATGGCCGGGGTCTGCTCCCTGCCTGACTTCCTGTGGGCGTTTGGCTGTAGCGCTCGACCCAGACTGTAAAGCAAGATGCTCTGCTTCTGGGAATTGAGCACCGTTTTTTTGTTTTTTGGGGGTTTTTTAAAATTTTTTTTTATTGTCTTTGTCTTTCAGCCTAAAGTACACATTAGATAACATACTTCCTAGATAAAAGGATTCTGTGTCAGCTTTTAGCTTTGCATTAACAGTTGTTACACAAATTCTTCTATTAAAAGCATCAGTTTATTTTCATATGGCATCAGGAAGTGAGCTTTTAAAAACACTGATGTTTCTATACATGTTCATTGTCTAAACCAGGATTCCAGTTTCACATGAATTTCCTGACTATCTTCTTTTTAAAATTAACAGTGACGAACGGGAATTTTTCTGTAAAGCCCACACTGGTAACATTTTTTGGTTATAATGTTTTGAAACCAAAAATAATCAAAATTTGGCCAGCGAAAGAAAACAGTCTTAAAAACTGGGACTACAGACAGGCTCAGAGATGAGAGGGACTCCTGTGGCCCAATCTCTTACATGCTGCATGATAAATTATTTCTTGTCGAAGGCCAAAGGAACCTGCATCTTGCCTCACAAGAGGACTGTACTGCTCAGTCTTGCTTTATCTCCAAATACCACCCTTTGAAATGAAGGACAGATGAAATCACTGGGTAAAATAAGTGAGATCGCTGAAACCCATCTTAGTAAATGAAACATTTTCAACGATGGAAATCTGGACAAAATTCATCTCCAGCTAGTTTACTCTGCAGTAGACTTGATGCTTTCATGGAGGTCTTCCTGGACCATTCACCAACATCTGCCCACCAAACTCAGCTCGCACATGAATGCTTTCTCAGCACATCAGGGCTGCCGGGCTAGTGTGAACTTCGCGGACCTGCATGCCTTTCCCCAACATGTTTCTTATGGGCTGAGCGTGTTAGCCCGTCTTCACGAGGGTGAACCACGGTGATTACTGGGTTTACGTGGCACCCTGTTAACTTGAGGAGTGGCTAAATAAAAATGGTGTTGAACTACATGTTAATAATGAACTTTCAGAAGCCAAAGAGATTCCACATGAAAGTCTTTGGGGAAAATATGTATTTCCATTGATATTCCTGTTGGCTCCTATTTGGAAAAACAAGAAGTGGAATGTCCAGCAGGATCACCATCAAAGCAGGACCGAGTAACATGCAAATAGGTGGAAATCCTATGACAACGGTGCTGCAGAGACCCCATGTTTATATGTGTGGGAATGGCAGAATGAATGTCCTAAACACAGTAATTAGATAGAAATGGAATGAAATTAGCCCGAAGGATTTGTACTGAAAATTTCTGTCTCATAAATGTTGGGAAACTTGGACCATGCAGTTAGATACAATGAATAAAACCCAACTTGGAAATTGTCCTACACAGAACATAAAAAACATCAAATATTTAAAAGCAAGCCCAAGAGATATTTATATATAGTGTGGATATTATACTAAAGAACATATTTGAACTTGAGTGTGCCTAATTTTGCATTAATATCATCATGACTTTTATCTCACAGTTTCATTTTTATAGTAGCTGCCTGCAAACTATGGCCCACCTGTATTTGTATACAAAGTTTTATTGGAACGCAGCCATAACTATTTCTTTATGTGTGGCCTGTAGTCGCTTTTGTACTACAAAGGCAGAATTGATTAGTTGCAACAGAGACCATGTGGCCCACAAAGCTGAAAATATGTACTATCTGGCCCTTTTCAGATAAAGTTTGCTCACTCCTGGAAAAATCATTTGACCGTCCTTTCCAAACCGAGATTCCTTCTGTAGCTACAATAGAAAGGAAGACAAGCACTTTGTCGTTGTCATCGCTTCATACATAATGAGTCATGGGTTCAATTAGAAGACATATCACTTATATCCAATACTTATTTGAGGGAATTTATGGAAGACAGAGGAGAGAAAAGAACAGTTTTCACTTTTTAAGGAAGACATTTAATGACCTGCTGTGTTTGATTTTTTTTTTTCAAAAGAACTTTGTAAATTTGTCCATAATGTGAAACTTGTATCCAGTGCAATATAAATAGCTCAGTGGGCCTCACCACTTTTGGTAAATCATCCTTTTTGGGCACCGGGCAGAAAGAACGGCAGACTTCATATTTGAATTGTTCGAAAGACCTAAGGCAAGGAAAAGAGAAGAGTTACGTAAGTGAAACCAGAAGAAAAAGAGCAAAAAATTAAAAGAAGAAGAAAAAAATGATGGACTACCAATAATGGCTCAAATAGACTTTCTCTTGCACATTGTCCTGAATAAAAGCAATAGCTAACATTTACTGTTCTCCCATACGCTGGTTAAATGACATAATTTATCCATTGATTCCTACTCTTCAAGATAAGTATGATGCTGACTGTTTTACAGAGACACAGACTGAGGCTCTGAAAGATGAGGGAACTTTCCCTCCGTATCACTATACAGCCATCTAACTCAGAAGCCACCGTGTTTCTGTTAGGATTCTCTTAAGATTATCTAAGTAATGTCATTGTATTGTTATAGCAAATTGAAAAAATAAACGAATCAAATGAACCCCCACCAATCAGCACTGTAAACCAAGCCTGCCTGGTAGTAATTTAATGATGTGTCAGTTAACGCCGTATAACAAACCACCCCACCCCCCGTGTAGTGGCTGAAAAGCATTTTCATTTATTATGTCTCCCAAGTCTGCAGATCAGCTGGGTGTTGGCTTATCTGGTCTTGGCTTGGGGACAGCTCTCCTGCAAGCCCGCCATCCTTTTTGGGGACCAGCAGGCAGGCTCAGGCATATCGTTCTCATGCAAACAGCAGAGTTGCAAGAGAGCGAGTGGAAACGCTCAAGGCCTCTTGAATCCTGGGCTTTTAACCAGCCAACCGCCACCTCTGCCTCATGCCATGGGCCAGAACAATTCATGTGGCCAAGTCAAGAGGCAGAGAAGCACGTCCTGCCCATAGTGGACTATGGCAGTGGGCTGAGACACAGGGAGAAGGGAAGGGTTGGGGCCAAGTTTTCACTCTCAGGTTATGTAAAGTTAAAAGTGCTTTACTCCAAATGTTCTAAGTTTGGATTATCTGAAAGCCAGGCCCAGAACTCTGCTTCTTCTCCGCTGTCATCACCCCGTAACCAAAGAGGCAGACAGCTGTCATGCTCCATCAAGACCTTACGAGAGTGACATCTGAGGGCCACATGGGGGCTCCTGGACGCGCAACCTCACAGAGTTCCTTGGACCCTTTTCTGCTTTATACTAAACACTGCCCTGAAAGTAGCCAGCACATTAGAATACAGGCATATTTGGTCTTATTACGCTTCGCTTTATTGCGCTTCACAGATGTTGTGTTTTTTACAAATTGGAGGCATGGCTGTCCAAAAAGATTATGATTTGCTTTATTGCAGAGGTCTAGAATCAAAGCCACAATATCTCTGAGGTATGCCCGTACTTGGTGCCTGGTGGAGTACATTATTATTGATTAGATAAATGTATCAATTAAGACAAGCAACATCTTCACCTAGAGAAGATTTAAAAGTGCACAGTGAGCTGTGTGTGTGTGTGTGTGCGTAATGATGGGACTGAACATAGGTTCCACATAATTAGACTTGTAACAATTTACTTGAAAGTACTAGTCTACATTTTCGTAAAAGGAATCATTTTCTTACTGTCACTTGTTCTGAGTAAGAAATAATGGTTGATCCCAGCTCAGCTGTGTGATAACTTCCTGCCCTTCTCAGATACTTATCCAGTCATTAATAGAAAATAAAAGTGAGAGTGAAGTTTAGACAATTAGTTTCAAGGCAGGAGGTATTGCTTGGTATAAATATTCTGTAGATTCTCTTTATGCCTGAAGAGCAGGCAAAACAATTATGGATTTTCCCCAGTGATTAACTAAAGGTTAAGGCAATGCAGATTTTGCAAGATGAGTGCAGTTTTTTTTTTTGTTTTCTTTTCTTTTTTGACGAGACAAAGACAGCTTCATATTAACTCCTCCTCCTCAAATAATACAGCTACAAGAGCACATATAATTTATGAGATATTTATGGGGACAGTATAAAAAGGTAATGTAATTTTTTTCATTTTCTTTGCTGAGGCCTATCCAAGAAAATAAAATTTACTTTACAGTTTTGGAATGAAGAATGTAAGTGATATTACATTCTTCTCATACCTTTAGGGAGAGGGGGACTTAACTAAGCCAGCAGAAGAATGAAAAGGGAGAGGCGAGCGCTATTTACAATAACCATCGTGGAAATGGTGCAATCGTACATTGATCAAAGACAGTATGTGCTTTTATTTCTCCTGGAATTAAACCCTTCACCTGCCCTAGACTGTCCAGGACTCACGTCATCGGCATGCAGTGAGCATCAACTTGTCAGAGGTGTGGTTGGCGGTTGATTTGCTGCAAACTCTGAAAACATGTAGATTTGGAAACGTGTTCCCCAGAATGATAAGACTGCCCCCCCCCCCGAAGGCTGCATGCGCTCGAAGGGGAGCCCGTGTGAGGTGAGCAGAGACCTGGGGGAGCTCCCGAGGACAGGACCCGTGCCGCTGGGGGTCACCTGACAAGTCCGGCCCAGGTTCCCGTTGGGCCTCCTCTTGCCTAATATGCCTGGCAGCTGAATTCACTTGCTTAGAATAATTTTGCTGTCTGTCTGAAACCACACGCTACCAACATTTCTTATACTAGAGAACTGAGTGCCGAGTTGGCCCTGAAGAGAGAAATTAAAAATGGAAACTCGTTCAGATGAAATGGGCGCAGAGAATCGTATATCGAGCGAGCAACACAGTGACATCGATGACAAAGGTGACTGAGGAAAAGCCAGGGCTGGCAGGGGAGGCGGTGGGAAGCTGGTCGGAGCCCTCTCTGGAAGATGGAGACAGCATAGGCGCCCCCAGGGGAGCAGGTAAAGCAAGATGGCTTAGCAGAAGGAGAAGACAGTGACTATGCGTATCTTGCCGGTGGGCGTAGGTCACCAGGAACCTTTCTTATCTCACGTCATCTTGGAAATAAGATTGGGTGTGACCGTGTTACCAGCCCTTTCACGCCACACGAGAAAGTTCTGGAAATCATTAGAGCCGTTGGCTCCGCAGCCTAGAGGTGCCACGTGTAAGTGGAACCTCCCCCCACCACCCATCTCCTTCCAATGTACCCTGGTGCCAAACGAAGGAGGAAACGTTTCAGGTCTCACTGCGTGGGAGCCTCTTGTCACCTATCCCAAGGTAAATTACTAGAGAAACCGCATGATTTCAGCCACCTTCATCAGCGCACAATTAGAATAACGTACACATACGTTGTCAACGCCCCTGGAAAATGGAGTATTTTCTATCTGGGAGCTTCTGACAAAGAAACGAGTGTTTTACAGGATAAAAGATGCAAAATGGGAAAGGTTACGTGTGGGGAACATCTGTAATCATTTGCCTGCCAGTGCAAAATGAATTAACTGTGTACAGATTTTAAATCGTCCACTTCATCTGCTTGTTATACAGATATTTGTGATTTGCATTCTTTAGATTTTTTCAGCTTTTCTTAAAGCTTGAGAAACAAAATGTTAAATCTATTTGAATTTCATTTGGAAGAGAGCGACATAGTAAAAAGTACTATTAAAGGCTGTTTTGAAAAGGGCATGGAGCCATTTGGAGGCCTGATAAAACTCTGTCTCAGTGGCCTGCAGATTCAGATGAGGGTTAATAAAGAGAATAAATAAAGTAATTCAGGACGAAGAAGCTTTGTATTTTGTCTTGATAGATAAACTAGTCCTTAATGCAAGATATAAAGTGAATTACAAGAGCAATTGATGGACGTTAATATGGTTTGAAACCATTACCGAGATTAATAAATAAAATTTTGAGTTGCCCTCAAATCTGTATTTAAATCATTTTTTTCATTCTTGCACATATTAAGTTAATCAAAATCAAAAACTTGCTTTATAAATTACTGTTCCGAATAGCAAGCTTGAGCAGAACCTCTCTTTCCTCATTTTAATAGAGTTCCATTTTCTGCTGTAAAGTCAAACCCAGTAATAAGAACATCCAGCTTAAACTATTAATACTTTTCTTTGAAAAGGAAGAGTTCAGATGTAAAGTTTCAATAATTAAAAAGTTCTCTTCTAATGAGGTAGTTTCTGAAATACTATGTTTAACCCCAAAACGACTTGTAAAAATTCCCCACACTTTTTGGAACTGCATGCACAAATCTCAACAATTACAGTAATTATTCATTTAGCTTTATTACCGAGACAACTTTTTTTTTTAAGTTCCCTCCCATTGATCTTGCATACGGAGATCGTTTAAACCCCTCTTTGGAAAATTCTTCTAATGGATGCTTGTCAATATTTTCCTGATGGCAATGCTCGAAACCTCAGGCTCTGTCACTGCTTTCATCTGTAAGCAATAGGCGCACACACCATATTTTATGTGGTCCAATAAAAGCATGATTTTCATCCATCAATTCGGTATTCCAATTTCAACCAACCTAAATTATTGTGCTAGTGCAGTGCACTAGATCCCAGTGTGGTCCGCGCGCACCAGCAGCTTCGGCATCACCCAGACGCTTGTTAGAAATGCAAGTTCTCGGGCTCCACCCACACTTACTGAGTCAGGACCTCTAGAGGTGGGACCCGGCCATCTGACTTCACAAGCCCTCCAGTGGATGCTGATGCACGCTCATTCGTCTGAGGACCACCATGCTAGGATGTCTGGGTGCATCCAGGAGGCAATGAAAATATTAAGAGTGGGACTGAATGCTCTGGGTATCTGTAGCGACGAGGTGATTTTTAGTCTGGGGGCCTTAGGGAGGAAGTGGTTTTTTAAAACAAGGTGAGAACACCTCCGATTCCTGCAGACAACACAGAGTTAACCTTACAATGCAGTTTGGGTCCAGACCCCTGGGAAGTTGCTACTATTCTTTAGAAGCGAATTGAGCCCCCTCTCATTTTAAGTTGATCTGAAAGTCCTTATCTGCCACCCGAGCTTTCAGCCCACAACAGGAAAGCTTGACTTTACCTTTGATGGATTTCTTTTGAATGCACAGTGTGTGCGTTTTCTTCCTGGAGGATTATGACACATTGCCATTGTTGTCATAGTCTTCCTTTCCCTGTGTGTTTGAGTGTGTGGATACCTCCCCCTTCTGATATACGCATAAATGACTGGACACATAGCCTTGACCCGAGCTTGCGTGTGTGATTTCACATCGTAGGAATGTCCTGGATCTGAGGCTCCTTGTCTGTGAAGGGAGGGAGCTGGACCGAGGAATCCCAAAGGCCCTCCTGGCTCTGAGTCTACAGACCCTACGTGTTTTCACTCGTCTTCCTTTGTTCACGATATGATTTAGCATTTTAATTAGATATAATCAATCTTAATACTCTATTCAAAATGTTCCTTCTGATAGTAAAAGCTCCATATAAAATGTCTCTACTTTGCTCCAAACACCCCACGTCCTAATTGTTCATTTCATTGCTCGTTTATAAATGATTGCATTACACTTATGAAATAATCTGAGAAACTTGTTTGAAAACACTTGCATAAATAAATAGCGTGGGATTTTTTTTTTCCTTCCAGTGGAGCTTGATTGATGTGGGCTACAGAAACCTTTTATATTTGCTTTATGCTTTTCATTTTTCTTCCTCCCCTGAGACTGTACGCGTGTGGCGTGCATACACAGATAAACCAGGTTGTCTCCTTGATGTCTCATTCATTTCTTAAGATGGCATCATGTCGCCAAGGAAAATTAGTGACAGATTCACATCATAGAGTAGAACTCTATTCATTAGATTTTTTTTTTTTTTTACAAAGCGCACCTTCTTTTTCTGCTTCCTCATAGTAAGTTTTGGGTGTGTGGATGTACACGCATAGGAAAGCATTTAGCAACAGAGAATAGAAACAAGCTACATCTCCTTTTCATCAGCTGTCCCATCCCAATTTTGTCCTTGAATTTCTTTACTTCAGTGGACGATCTCTGTCATTCTGAAATTTCTGGAACTTCGTTTCTCTGAAAACCATAACAAGATGCGCTCAGAACGCGCTCCTAGGCGTCCACTGGTAAATTGCTGACATTCTTTCCTGATGAACTCTGCTAGTTTGCTCCATATTTATTAGTTCATCTGAAATTCCACAGCTGCCACCTGAGCTTTCATGCTGTCGATACGGACACCCCGGCTTGGGGGTTGGTGAGATTCTGGTTTAGCCAGGCTACAGTCTGCTTTTTACCAAGTGCCTTTGCTAAGAAACGGATAAATCTGTTCTTTTTCTCATGCTCTCCATGAAATGACAGGTAACTCCCCTTGCTCCGTGAAAGCATCATTTGACATTTAGTTTGTTCATTTTCAGAATTCATTTTTCCATGGTCATTGCCAGGTTAGTTACTATCTCCCATCAGCAACTCTTGAAAAAAATCTGTACACTGGACAATGGAAATGATTCAATATTCTCTATTTTTTCTACTTTTCATTGCTGTTTCAGGGAGGAAAGTGGAATTTTTCTTCTACAGTCTTCTTTATGCATCCTTTTTACAAACCTGTAGCCTAATGGAGGATATATTTGGATTCACGGTGCTTTTTACTTGTTTTTCCAAAGCGTCCCTGTTTAAATTATCAATCTAAAAACTCCAACCACAATTCACCTTATAACTCAGCAGAATAGGACTTACATTAGCATTTTCATGCTTATCTCCTTACATAAATGTCACATTATGATGGCTTATTCAAACTTTTCCTATACGTTCTCTGCCATTGTACTTTTTCGTATGAGAAACAGCCTGGCTTAAAAAAAAAAAAAAAATCCCACATATCTCAGAATCAAACTTATCAAAAAATATTTTTAGGATAATGTACAACTCAACATTTTCATGTTTGGGGCCCACTTCTTTGAATTCGGATACCTAGAGAATAATAAAAATAAGAATTATGTTTGATGTATTCTGCAACTGAATAATTACTGTTTTTGAATAATGAGACTTTTTATTTGTGATGATGTGAACTTTCTGAGAGCAACTTTCCCCAGATCTGAGACTGATGGTAGAGATGACAGGGTCAATAGAAAACGACTTTCTGGTCCCACAGGTCGGGCCGATGACATCCACCCCAATCATATTTTCCCGCACTTGGGAAATGACCTCAGATAGAGCAGGAGGAAAGTTTTAGTCATCTCGGCCCCTCTCTGTTTGGGAACAATTTGTTTTAAAAGATAGAATTCATTTCAGGGGTTCTTATGAGATAAAATGTCAATAAAAAAATTGTCTTCATTGCTTAGCCGTTTATTGGTATTGAGGTTATTTATAAAAGCATTTTTTTTTTTTTTTGGCTAAAAAAAAAATCACTCAGTTCATTTTTTAATGAGAAAAGCTGAATATTTGAACTCCTGACTCCTGAAGTCATTCTGTACATTTCATCTCTAATGGTGGCTCGTATAGCAGCAACAGGCCAGCAGATGACAAAATTACCTTGTCTCTTCGTTTCTAATAAAGTTCAGTGTAAATAGATGTCAGAAAACTCACCTGATACAAAAATGTCTTGAGTTCGATGATCTCTTTCCTTAGGAAGTCAGCACTCAGGCAAATATTTCAATTGCCTTCACAACATTAAAAGAAAAAAAAACTGCTTAGTTCTTCCAAACTTTTGACGATTTATGAAAGAGATAGATATCTCTTTCGAACATTCTCCATCTACTTATTCACATTAAGCTAAAATTAAACCATTTGTACAGCTTTGGGGGAGATTTGCAGCAGATCTGAAAAGGATTTGAATTTCTTACTTGGAATTTTGACAACTCCTACTAAGAAAATATTGTCCAGGTTATGTGGTATAGTAGCCTAAAACTTCAAAGGGCTTTTCTTAGTCAAAATTACTTAAATAGCCTCTTTTAGTCTTTTTATAATTGTGGCTCTTAAAAGGAGATTAAGAACAATTTTTCAACATTATTTTTAGCATCCAGTTTTGACCCACCAATAGATCTATCCATATTTTCTAACTGTGGATTTTTTTTTTCGCTACTATATGAAAATATTTTTTTACAAATTTTAAAAATTTTCCTCAAAATTTATTTTCAAATTTCAGACAAAGAAAAATTTTCAGACATAAGGGTTTTCAGAATTTTTTGAGCAGGGCTGTATTTTTCCCAAAATTGCATTTTTATCCTCTGAGATTTTAAACACCTTTCATTTAAAAGTTTCTTTCCAAAGTGTGTCCTGGATATGTCTAATGAATAGTCCTTGAAAACAGAGTCACCTTATTTATAAATTCAATTCTCTTTCCATTCATACGAGGAACTTTATCCTTCCTCGGGGCATGTATTTAATAACCGTTAATGAAATCTGAAATTATATATGAGCACTGAGACCCGAATTTGCTACTCATTTTTTTTTACAGTGGAAATTTCATAAGGGTTTTGGCATGGGAACACAGCAGACATTTAAGGCAGATGGAATAATACAATTGGCCACAATGGCTCCGAAGGAATCATAACAGTTTATAATCAATAATTTGCTTACTAGAGAAGACAATCTTTTCAGCCAAACCAGCAAGCATTCTATTCACCCTCCCAGTCAGCCAGCTACCGCCACTGTTCTGCAATCTTGAGACTCCCACAGATGTCATACGTGGAGGCTGGGGGCTCAGCACTCATTCGTTTTGCCTTTTAAGATTTCTGTTTCCACCCACCCGTCCCCTCTGTACGTCCCTTTCTCATTTCCCCTTAAAACTGCAAAAGCTATTTGAGCAAACAGGGGCTACAGAGGCCAGATTCAGCAGCCATTTACAGAAAGGGGCGGGACTCACGAAGGAGGAGGGTCCATGCCGACTGATGTAGGTCAGAGACCGCCAGATGACAGGGGACTTGGGAGGCAGGTAGGGGCAGGGCCTTTGGAAGCTCAGATGCATTTTGATTGGACATGTGAGAGTAAAGTTCTTACAGAATTTTCTTTTGAAAAGAAAATGGAGGAAAGTGTAGTGGACTCTGGACTCTGAAAAGCGAGGTCAAGCAAGAAGAAGGCAGAAAACCACGTGCTCATCTAATGGGCTATGCTACAAAGCAATGTCCCCACTTGGGTGCCAGTTTCCTTACAGAGGATGAAGAAACCTGGCTCCCCAGGAGGCCGAGGAGGGAGAGATCTGGGCAACCGGCCTCCATCTCCTCTCGCAGGTTTCTAGGTGAAGGGGCTGTTTGGGAAGCAAATTGACAGTGCATTTCCTCGTTTAATCCTCTCAACAGCTCTGTGGCATGGAGATTATGATGATCCTACTTGCTAAGTGCCAAGCTGAGGCACAGGGACTCTGGGTAACTTGCCCAAGGTCTCACAGTTTGTAAGAGGCGAGCAGGATTCGAAGTGGGCAGACTGGCCAAATAGTTCGCACTCTTGGCCCCCTACACTGTACTCCTCATGGTGGCATTTGGCAGGAAAGACTATTTCCCAACTCTGCTGCTATGGAAAGCGAAGTCCTTTGCAAGAGAAGCCAACTGGCTTCCCATGACTCAAGAACAGCAGTGGCCACTGCGTGGAGACCTGGGTGTTTTTCCTGCAGCTTCAGGAAGGGACAGAGAGGGCAAATGGTGACAGCTGATCAAGCATGGGGCCTGAAGTTCCTTTTGTATTTTAGGCAGTAAAGATCCTCGTTTTAAGTGTGAAAATTGTGAGAAACCATGCAACCTGCGTTGACATTTTATAGTTTTCTGCTCAAGTGACAGCATCATGAGCAAGCGTGACTGTGAGATGAAGGGCGCCGCCCGATGCCCACCCCACACTCTGAATCATTGACATTTCCGCTCAGCAAATGTGTGTTCACAAATATGCTTCTAAATTAAGACTCACGCTTCATCAGCTGCTTGGATAACTCCAGTCAGGCCAACAGCAAATGTAGGTCTCTAATTTCAAACCTTCACGGTCAGTAAGTCTGAAGGTGGTCATGCATTGGAGAATGTTTTGGGGTTACTCAACAACCAGATCTTGACATTGACAGCCACGAAATTATAATGGCAGCTTAGAACCAGTCGTAGGTAGTAGCTAGTAGGGACCCAGAGCGATCTCTAGGGTATGCAAATACCATCCAGCGCCAGGACAGTCAGACTGGTGCTTGCCGAAGAAGGAGATTCTTGGGTCCTTCTTCAGATCGGTGGAATCTGAATCTCCAGAGTTTGATCTGGAAATGTGTATTTGTAAATAATAAGTCAGATACCTGACCAGCTTTGGGAATCAATGACTAGAATATTGCTGCAGAAGAATCCTTGGCAAAATAGCCAGTTTATCTTTGATCATCTCTTCAGTCATCTTGATTTGGCCATCCTTGTTGTCGACAACACTACTCTTCTCTCTTCAGAGTCAGTCCAAACTGTAACGTGCACACAAGTCATCCTATTCAAATGCAGACTCTGACTCAGCAGGTCTGAGGTGGGCCTGAGCTCCTGCGTTTCTACCAGACTCCCAGAAGATGCCACTGCTGCTGGTCCATGGACCGCACTTTGAGTAACGAGGTTCGGGTCTGGTCTTCAGGCTCATTTCTTTCTAGTGATGACGTCGCTGCTCGGTCCCTTTGTGCTTTCTTCTTCCACATAATGCCTGCAATTTATCAGTGTCCTGTGGAGACAAAGGTCTTTCGGATTTAGCCAAATATTGAGGAAGGGCCCCTGTGATGGAAATTTCAGAAAAGTTGAAAGAGGAT